GGCAGTGTGTAAAAGCTGTGCACACTGATGTTGATAAATGGGGCATTGCACTCTAAAGGAAACTGGAAATAGGCACATATTGATCCAGTGCAATGATTTTCTTCAGGAAGGTGCTCTAAATCCTTTTTTTTTATCATGCTAATATAAATGGCCACTTCAAGACTCATGGTTGTGTGTCTTTCAACATGTCATTATGACATCATAGCACTATATATTAATTTAAAGGGGGGGGGGTATTGTATTGTTTTTACTGTAATTATAAATTTTATTTATTTACTGTAAAATCTACATTTTCTCAAGATAAAAACAAACTCAAATCAGAAACAATCATTTGTGATGTCATCCTGAAGAGTGCAAAACAACTGTGACAACCTTTTCTGCTTAGACCATTCTCTTGTGATCGCGTACTTGTATCTATATCAGGGTTGTTGCTTTTGCATTGTATTTCTGCAGTGATTGAGTAATTATATCATCGATATAGACAGCATATCCATCTGCCGATTCTGGTGTAAAAGGCATTCGACGTAAAGGCATGTCTGTCTTGTTAGTCATTCCATACTGCCAATAGCTTCATCAATATGCACAGACGAATCGAGCAGATGGGCATCATGGGTCGTAGATCTTAATTGACTCAGCTAAAACTCCCTGATGATGTATTCCACCTCTCAGATTACCATTACGTTGTAGTGCCTATACAGTCTAGCACTGCATAACCCACATATTCAGCTGTGTTTGGAACGGGCCCAATCAAAATTGGGGGAGGAAATATGGTGGTGTGTCTTTTCTTGCCCTCCTAGATAACCTTGGTAGATATTTAGCAGTTTCAAGGTGTGGTAGAGTGCAAGAAACTCCCATTTTTGTTTTGGTCATTTCTTTTTTTTTTATTGATCACATGCAAATTATTGATCTTATCATGCACATTATTCTAATGCGATATGCTGACATGCACTTGAGGATGAACTTGACCTTTAGCCTCCACATCCCAGTTACCATCTGTGTGCTTACAACCAGTAGAGACTCTGATAAATATGATATCTGAATGTTTCTACAATACAGTTTACTTGGTTTGAATTTCCTCAAAATAGGTGTCAGATATTGTATTTTGACTTAAAGTCAAGTAATTTTTTAAGTGTATTTTTGTATTACAGTGGAATACAGCGTCTTACAGACTGCTAGACAGATTTACTGAAGTACGTCCCTCTTTAGAAATGTGGATCATTTCACTTTGAAGAACTGAAGCAGTGCAAGCAAAAATTGCATTCAGATATTCTCCGAGTTAAACCATCTGGTTATTCCTGTACAGTATTTGTCCTGGAATGGAGAGAAAATAGAAGTTTTGGCTTTAACTATGCTTTTTAATGGTCAGTGAATCTCTTAAATGAGATATTTCCAGTCACACACTGCTGACAAAAGATTCGTTTTCTCCCCGTCATTGGACTCACATCTTAGTATTCCAAGTATCCAATTTATGCAGCAGCTCCTGAGTTTAAGTGGACTTTGTGAAAGACGTTTGTGTGTATTGGGTGAGTGTGCCGTGCCATTATGTCTAACGCAGAAATGTCAAAAAGAGGCTTCTCTTGAATTAATGAGCCTTTATTTCCAAAGGTGCCTTCATTATGAATATAATGGGCGCTAAATTGATTTACCAAGTATAATTTAATTAATAATAAGCATGGCTTTAGATTTTTTTATTTTTTAAGCGTTATTAGATGGCTATGTGACACTGAAAGCCCTTATTGAAAAGCTCAATTAGTCGAAGTTTTACTTTAGTTGTTTTGCTGAAAAAATACAGCTTGGTTACCTGCCTCGAGTGCAGTGACTTATGGGTATTGTAGTTCTTCTCCCTGGCTCACTGTAGTGTTTGATGCATATAACTCTCTTGGATTCATTTGGCAGGTAAAGTTCAGTGTGTTCCGGTAAGAACTGGGACTATACGTTTGCTGCTTTCCCTTGGGCCCTGTGTGTTTGTGTGTATGCACTCTGGGTGTTGATGGGGATTCGCTCTCGCTGGGCGGAACACACTCTATTAGAATTGACACGCTGTCACCTTTCATCAGCATTCGGAATGGCCCCCTCCCCTGAACTCGGGGTGTGTGAGAGGCAGTTTTTATGAATGTAACTCTGCTGTATCTTTAGTCCCTGAAGAGAAATCTGACCTCTCCTTGAGTGTTCAAGACAACAGGCACAGATACACTAACATACTATTGACAAAAACTGCTGCTTTCAGTGACTGATACTACTAATAATAAATGTCACTCTATATTTTAAGGTCCAGTTCTTGCTATTAACAAACCATTAACTATTACTTTTGCCTCAATAAACTCCTAATTTGCTGCTTATTATTAATAGTTAGTAAGGTAGTTAAGTTTTGGTATTGGGTAGGATTAGGGATATAGAATATGGTCATGCAGAATATGTGCTTAATATGTACTAATAAACAGCCAATATGTTATTAATAGGCATGCTAATAAGCAACTAGTTAATAGTGAGAATTGGCCCATATGTGTTACCATAATAAAGCAATAAGCCACTTAATAGCATGCATTACACTGATTTCAGCCAAGGTCATGGCCTAAACCATTCAATGTGAAAAAAATTTGTATCACATAACCTCAAGTGGTTTATTTTATTAATAAAAATACACCAATGTTCAATAAACAATTACTATTATTAATCATTATTAAAATATATAGAATCATAAAATTTATATAAACTATTCTTCTCCCTCATTCAATTACAGTTAACTTTGCTAAGCTTTCATTTGCCCCTTTTATCTGCAAAAATGTCCTCATAAAGTGGGCAAAATTTATTTGCTATTATTTCTATGTGGGCTGGGATGAATTAACTTTTCTTTTATAAAATGAAAGTGCTCAGTAGTGTCAGCCAGTGGACGAGAGCCTAATTTGAATTTATATGAATTGATTTGAATTTTACAATTGATAACATTAGTGTAACGTTTCTACAATGGTCACTGTTGACTTGAATCAGTATAAATGTATCATCTGTATCCTCTATGGGTACCATGACACTATTATAAGTGTCCAAGCTACAATATTTTAACATATTTTTGTAAAATTTCCATTATAATTGTGTTTAAACTCTAAAACTTCCTTTAGAAATTAGACAAGAGCCAAATTATACCTCAGAAAATTGTGAACTGCAACTGTAGTTAAGGAAAGATTGGTTTATAGTGGTTTTAAGGCGAGGTGGAACAGTGTTTCATTAGCATAACTATAGGGTCTTTGTAGTTGCAATTTAAATTGCTGTATTAATTTTGAATATGTGATCACAGGTGTTTATCATAAGTTTACCATAGTTTCAAACTGGATTTATCCGATCAGTGTTTAGAGTTTCTCATTAGCCCATGTCAGAGGCTCGTATTTCTGCTTCTGTAGATCTGCTAATGTGTTTTTTGTCCTTTGAGGATTCCAGTTAGCATGCAACAAAGCTGTCGTTTCACTCGTCCCGTCTCTCACTCTGTCACACTTGTTTTATGTGGCTTATTGCTATGGATTTAGGCCACAGGCAGCTCAATGACAGAATACATCACAAATCCTTTCTCTTCATGATCCCGCCCAGCAGCAGTCATATACCTGCACTCATGTGGAACAAACAAGAATGGTTGGTTGCTCACAGAAGGTCATTTGCCCAGGGTGCAGTGTGTCTCTGAGTCATTGTGTGTGTTTGTGGCTTCTTTTGTGCTTTTTCAGTGGAGGATACGTGAGAGTGGGCTTTTGCATATGTCCGCCTGGTCACGCGTGTCTCAAGTGCCCTTGCCTTGACGCCGCGTGTCAGAGGTCACGTGGCTGCAGGAAGCGCGGGGTCTGCGCTGACCAGCAGTGCCAGAAATGACATTGTGACAGTCGGCACTGTAACGAGTGTTGACACTCAAATCTGGGTGACTGCGATTGGTCCTCCAGGTTTGATTATAACTTCGTATTACTGTGCAAGGGCATTGTGGGTAGTGGGGTTAGACTAGCGCCCTTGCTGTTGAGTGGTTTGCTGTGTTTAAATCTTCATTAACCCTGGCGTTTTCCCCAAGGAATAATTTTCCTCCATGTTCCCTTGTTTTTGTCACGCTTGGGGGAAATAATCAGATGTAATTGGGTAGTTTGACCCTGTAGTTTATCATTTGGTGGCTGAGTTTGCAAGGCTTTACTGCATGTCACCAGCTGTATTTTTACATCTATGTTAATTCACAGTCTGGTGGTGAAATTGGCCTGTAAATGTCGGCCTTGCAGTCCTGGTGGACATAATTAGCTAAAACCAGCACCGTGAGGAAGCGCATATAAAAGTCTGGTTTGTAATTAGCTGCCTCCTGCTCTCTGGGAGAGAAAAAATTAATGGAATAACGTGGAAAACTTCAATAGCTGATGAACATCATTTGCTAATAAAGCCTCCGAACTGAAGTAAGGGGCGGTTGCGTAAGAGCCTGTTAATTTGTCATGTTTGTATTTCGTAATAGGCTCAACCTTCAGCGCTTAGTAAGCAAAACAAACTGCTTTGCACATAGGGGCTCTTTTCTTGGCATTTCATAAAGCATTGATGAAGTAGAACTTCTCGTCCTTAGTTTTGGCACGTTGCTGAAATCCGCACTCAAATTTGTGATTTGCAACCGCAAGTCTTAATGAGCTCGTTCTTGCTTCATGATTCTCTGCCCTCTGTCTCTGGCGGTGTTGAACAAATCTAGCCAATACCGCCTGTCATCCGTGAAGTGCAGAGGTCATTGTGACCTTCTCACGGGTGGGTAAATAGGTTACCGACCCATCATGTGAATGTGCAGGGATTATCAACAAATGCAATGTTCACACTGATGCTAGCAGATTAAACCACTCAGATTTTGTTCGGTCTGAGGTGTTAATAGGTTTAAGTGAACATGAAATCAAAATTAACCCCACTTACTTAATAAACAAAATGCTATGTAGCTGTAATGTATTGGTCATTTTTAGATCCCGGTTTAAACTGGAAAATGTTTTTTATTTTTTATTTTTTGTCAACAGCTCTGGGCCAATTATGAAGAGAAACCAAAAGAAGAGGTGGCTCAGCTCACAGAGGAGAAGGAACGTGTGGCGAAATACAGAGCCGTCTATGTCACCGAGATCACAGATGGACTGCACTTCTACGCGCAGGATGTGGAAACCGGTGGGTGCTGCACTCATTTCTAAAACCAATGGAGAAACAGTGACGTCCATGCAAACGTGGTCCAATTAGTCCCTGTGGTACATGCTGTAACTACAGGCAAACAGCATCTTACTCCATTGACAGACCCTCAAAAAATTCTAAAAATTTTTATTTTGTAAATTATGAATTTGACATCATGGTTCAAAATAGTTGCTAGTGAAGGGTTTGTGTACATTCTTTTTATTTTCATGTCATTGTCCTGCAGCTCTAGAGTGTTTAGTCATGTGACATTAATGGCTTAGGTGATTTAAAATGATGAAAAAAGCACAAAGATATCAGAATGCAAGTCATATTCTGCTATTGTAAATGGGAATGCTAACACATGGCATTTTACTGATTAAACAGTCAGCAGCAAAAAGCCGTCTGAATCACATAATTTAAATTGGCTTCCTTCATTATGTTTTGATGACGAGCTCTCGGGTTTTACACTAATGGGCATCTTATCCAACTCCACATTCAACCAGGCATGATTATGACATCATACCTGAAGGGCTTTCTTCAGACTCCAGATATGATGATTATTAAATGTAGCCGCTCCAGCAAATTCCAGTTAGGAAACATTGCAGGTTGTGTGTGTTGCCCTCTAAATGCCCTGAGTGATCTCTTTGCTCAGTGTGATAGCAACTAGTCATTAAACATGACATCTGAATCGCCCTTGGTAGTGACCTAGTCCATGATATGGCAGCCGTCCTGAGATTCAAAGAGCTGTTTTAGTGAACAAACACTTTTTCTCTCTTCCATTCACATTTTCATATAAAATCATTTAAAAACTACATTTTGTATTTACTTGCATTATCTTTGTGTAATATTTAAAAATTTTTGATGATCTGAAACATTAAAGTGTGACAAACATGCAAAAAAATAAGAAATCAGGAAGGGGGCCAACACTTTTTCACACCACTGTACATGCGCGCGCGCACACACACCAGAAAAAATATCCTAATTATGCGCGCACACTGTTGTTAGTTGCATAATTAGGGTCTCGCTACATGTTCCAGTGGCAGACTTCATTGGCAGGACCATAAAATTGACTTCCGTTGTCTCTTAATGCGTCTTAATTTGCAAATTAATTAATTTGCATGAATTTATAATAAATCTGAGGCTTGCATTGCCAGGAGCGTGACAATCCTATCGCTTTTAGTGTGCCGTTTGGCTTCAAATAGCTCCATCTCAGAGACCTGCAGGTGTCGAAACACGTTGAAAAACAACTAAGGGAAAATGTTAAAGAAAAGGGTGAGATTCTGGCCACCCTCAATGTATGACTTTAGTCCCTCAGATGACCTTTAACCCCTGCAGGTTGCCCTGAGAGGAAGTGAAGACTGTGCCACGTCTAGTAACCATCACACCAATGAATTCCAGCAGCAAGTCACACACACACACATACACTCAGCTCTTTGTGAGGTAATTATTCAGGTTATCTGGTTAGCTGCAGAAGAAAAGCAGGTCAGAGCAAATATAGTGCAAAAACGGAGGGAGACGCGAGATAGAAAACAGGAAGTAGTGAGAGAAGATAAGACAGAAAAACGCTGAGCTGAATATGCAGTATGTTTGCAGCTTTGCACTGTTTTAGTTTTTTAGTTGTGTTGTTTTTTTAAGGGCTTTTTTTGTCAGATGAACCAGCAAGTGTGCATCTTTTCCCTTGTTTAATTGGCCAATGTTTTCCACTGAGAGGACTGGAAATGGAGATGGAGAGAGAGAGAGATGTGCTCGTTAGAGAAACAGGATTGTTATTTTCAGCTGAAAGTCATTCCTCTTTCTCTCTCTCACACTCTCTCCAAACTGCATTAAGGAGGTCTCATTCCTTGTAGAGCACTTCAAAGCAGAGCCCTATAAAAACCTACAAGCCAGTCGCTTTGCAATTTCATTACCGGTTTCTCACAGTAGCTTCAGAAAGACAGGAAAATTTGAACAGGGCGGGCACGATTTTCATAAACACTTTGAAGACGAGCCTTTTGATTATGACATAACTCTTTATGTCTACAAATTTCGCATCTAATAATTCCACTTTCTTCCCTTATGGTGGTCTTGCAGAAAGGAATGTTGGAGTTTCGTATCATTTGAATTTCAAAAATTCAAATAATATTAAAAGAAAAGTCATCACTTGAATATACAGTGTGGATGTCAGGTTCATGTGAAGGTCTGATTTATGAATAAGTGTGAATAATAGAGGACTGTTCACATTCATAAGTATAGAAAGCACTTATAAAGCTATATATATATATATATATGTAGAGAGAGAGAGAGAGAATACTATAAAAATATAAAAGTATAAAAATAATAGATGGAAATTTTTTTTTTAAATTTAATTATTTTTTACATTATTTATAAATTATACATTTATGAACACTTTTTTTGTTTATTAGTGCATTTATGTATTATTACCATATTAAAAACACATTATGTGGCATTTTAACATTACACACTTCATCTTTACAGAGGATAACAGCAATCACGTTCTTAAGCTTAGACAAGAACAGAATGATCGTAATGGATCATAATTTCACCATCTGATGGGCAGATAATAGTAGCCCATTACCAAAGGGGTTGCAGAGTGCACTGACTTGCTTTAAAAAGAACTCTGATTCTCAGATTCAACTTTGATTATTTTGCTGTTGTTTTTACAGATTGACTGTTTTTGTTATCATGAAACTGGTAGTGCATGCATTAATCAGTACATGAGCTGCAGAGCCAATCAACTCTTCATTCAGAATCTGAAGAGACATATGTAATATTTCTGCTTGTCACACTGTAATTCAATCCAGTCACATGTCTGCAACGTGTTTAGCCACTGTCTTTATGTCAGTGTAAATAACAGATCAAATCAAGATTTGATCAAAATTCTGAACACGTCTGTAACCTCTGCATAGTTATTTTTCCCTGCGACTCAAACTCGGGCTGTTACACAGAGTCGTGTCAAGTGAAAATAAACAGCTCTGATTGATTTTGTGGTATCACAGGGCTGAAGCTGCCATCTCTTGTGAGCACTGCGCAGTCTGCGGTTAATGTACAGCCCGACGCTGTGATGATCTCAGCTCACGACTTAATTTAAAAGACTCTAAACACCCACAAATCGCCCTGATAGCATCTCCGGTTTCCAGCACCCCATGCAGAGCAGGGAAAAGCTGGCACACTTTCTCTCTCTCTCTCTCTCTCTCTCTCTCTCTCTCTCTGCGGTTAATGTACAGCCCGACGCTGTGATGATCTCAGCTCACGACTTAATTTAAAAGACTCTAAACACCCACAAATCGCCCTGATAGCATCTCCGGTTTCCAGCACCCCATGCAGAGCAGGGAAAAGCTGGCACACTTTCTCTCTCTCTCTCTCTCTCTCTCTCTCTCTCTCTCTCTCTGTCTCTATCAATTCTTTTCCTTTTCTCTGTGTTCTTTAATTAGTTAGATTTAATTACTCAAAGTGTGGGATCAGTAGTGAAACGCAATTCCTTGGGCAAAGGAACGTCTGTGTGTATCTCCAGAGGCCGTGTGTAATTTCTCTCTGGGGTGGGGGTGCTGTGTAGTTGTGTAACTGAAACCTCAGTAAAGTAATGAACACTTTCGGTTACCCGCACTGACAGATTAGTTTGGGCATTAGCGTCAGCAAACCCGTCTGTAACAGGCACATTAGCTGCTGTTTGTCTTCAGCTGGTGGAAAGTAATTCAGAACAGAGATGGGTTTGTCACCTTGTGTAGATATTTGGGAGTATAATTACGTGTCAATTTGCAGTGACTATAATTATGTATGGCAGGTTTGTCTCCTGTCTTTATTTGTATGTGATTTTTATTTTTCCCAGCACTTGATACTGTCTGGAACGGTCATGAAAAACCTGGAAATACTAGGGAATTTGACCACTGTAATTTAAAACATTTGTCATGGAGCCCTAAATTAAATATTGATCATTTGTATTAATCTTTTTAGATTTATTTTTAACATTGCAACGTTAAAATAGTATTGTAGTTTCTTTCCATGTTTTTTGTAATAATTTTAATATAAATGTCATGTTTTTTGTTGTTGTTTTTTTACTGTTTAACAATTAAATAGTATTGTAGATTCTTTCCGCCCTAAATTAATATATTTTATTTACATTTTGTATAACATTGAAATAGTATTGTATTTATATTTTAAATGAATTTATTTTAATTACTGCATGACATTAATAGCAACGTAGATTCTTTCTGCCCAATTTTTTATATTTTTATATAAATTGTATGTATTTTTATTTACTGTATGACATTTATGCTTTATATTTTTGTATTTGCATATCATTTATAAATTAATTGTATGTCTTATTTGTGTTACATTATATTTATAACCTAAAAAGAGATTTGCAGATTTTTTCAAATTGTTATTTTGCTCTTTTAGTGTATTGTAGTATGTTGAAAGGGCACTTTTTTTCTTTAACTTTTAATTTCATTTATTATTTATTTTATTTATCATACATAGTAAACTTAAATAGTCAAACTTCAATGTAAATACTTGGAAATATTTACAATTACACGTCCTCTTAAATGTTATATTTGTAGTGTTTTGTTTTGTTTTCCTTGAATTACCAATGGTCCACCCCACCCATCTTCCTTCGGTCAATTACTTGCCCCTAACCAGCAGAGACAGTGAGATACTGTACATATGTTTGATCTTTCTGGTTGATGAGTGTCTTAGGCAGTGGTGGTATTAGTTTGGCTAGTGGGGGTAGAGGGGCCGTCTCTGGCACACAGCTTAATGACTTGAGTGGTTCCCTTACCAGGTGCCAGTTTATACACATCCACCACCGCTCACCCCTACATGCAACAGCTGTTTTATACCTAATGAAGGCCAGCCCACTCGCCTAGCAGGGGGAAATGTATTTTTCCGGCTTCACCTTAATTTGTGCTCACTGTTCCCATAAACATTCACCACTGGACAACATTCTGCATCCATTTCACACCCTGCTGTTGGTCTTCTGCAAAGCCATCCTCCTTTTTCATTGG